GCTGAAGAAGAGTAGGCTATAGAGGTCACACCATCAATTAGTTTCCCGTGGCTATCTCGCAGAATGACAGCCAACGCTGCTCTACCATCCGAAGAAGAGAAGCTGGCATCACAGGAAACTTTCATACAACCAGGGGGGGAGCTATCCAACGAGGGAGAGAGCGATCTGGAATAGAATTCTGTTGTCTTGGAGGCCTGGGGTGGTGATGGGCTTGTTCAAATTCCCACCAATAAGCATGGGCTTGTTGAGAAACTCGATGAGGATCCACAGAGCATTGTTGAAAAACCCAACTGTTCCTACTTTTCCATATACACCAACCAACGATGGCCACCCTACTCACTATCTCTCTTCTGTCAAGCGCCTGAGAGCAAGATTGCATCAGAGATATCGTCCACTAGAGAGCTGAAGCAATCGGATCGGACCCAATTCGGAGCCCCAAATTACATCCAAACCACACAGCTCTCACCCAGTCACAGTGGAAGAGAATATGCTCGATGGATTCGACACTTTCCTAACATACTGGACAGTTAGGAGAAGCAGCACACTTCTGCCGAAATAGATTTTCTTTTGTTGCTATCATGTTACAGCATACTCGCCACTAGAAATTTCAGATTTTCGGGGGGACCTTTAAGGACCAAATGAACTTCCAGAAACCTTTAGGGGGCTGGACAGAGGAGGAAGCTACAGAGGAGCGCACTTCCAACATCTCTTGTCGGGCCACCTGATAACCACTCTTGACTTCATAATTTCCTTTATTGGTATAGTGCCAGATCAGAGTATCCGCTTGACCCTCAGATGAAATAGGAATGACTGAGATATTACTAACATCCTCGTGATTGACAATCCCCAGAATTTGTCTCTGTCCCACACAGCGTGGGTCAAATTGATTACATCCCCGACCCACTGAACTTGGCAGCCATCTGGTTTCAAACTGACTGGTTTAAAGTTTGGAGAAGAAGGAATCCAACGGTCCTCCCAAAAATTAATGGACTGACCATTACCAACTTGCCACCGAAGGCCTTTACGAAGGAGATCCCTCCCTTGGAGAATGCTCAACCATGCCCAAGATGCCCTTCTCCCCCTTCCAGCTGAAAGAAAATCTGAAGATGGAAAATAAATTCCCTTTAGAAGTTGGGCACAAAGGGAGTTGGGAAATTTAAACAACCGCCAAGCTTGTTTAGCGAGAAGGGCAAGGTTGAAAGCTCTAAAGTCCCGAAAGCCCATACCCCCATGAGACTTAGTGAGAGAGAGTTTGGCCCAACTCGCCTAGTGGATGCCGCTATCCTCCGGGTCGCCACCCCACCAAAAGTTGCGGGTGTAGGAGTTAAGTTGATCGCTGAATTTTTTTGGAAGCATGAAACAGGACATTGCATAGGAAGGAATTGCTTGGACCACCGCTTTCAGAAGGGTTTCTCTACTGGCTTGTGATAGTAATCTCTGCTTCCACCCTTGCATTTTCTGAACAGCTCTATCTATGAGACAATTATAAGCTTCAGACTTTGATTTACCCTAACTAGAAGGAAGCCCAAGGTATTTAGAAGTTTGTTGGGTAGGGGAGATGTCCAAACTGCTGCAAGTATCTAGACGGGTCTGAGCCGAAGTGTTAGAAGAAAAAGCAATCCCAGACTTGTCCAAGTTAATGAGCTGTCCCGAAGCTAAGCAATAAGACTCCAGGGTCTGTTTTAAAGCTAGGCATTCCTCCGCTTCAACCTTGGCAAAAAGTAATGCATCATCAGCGAAAAAAAGGTGTGTCAATGGAGGGCTACTGGGCTTAATCTTAAGGCCCTTGATCCGTCTTTCATGAAGGCTCTTGGTCAGAGAAGCAGAGAGGACATCAGTGACTAGAACAAAGAGATACGGAGAAAGGGGATCACCCTGCTTCAAGCCCCGAGTGGGGATAAAAGAAGCACGTTTCCTCCCATTAGCAAAGACTGAGAAAGGCACCGTGGTAACAACTGCCATAATCCATTGAATCCAAAGACCAGCAAACCCCATCCTCTCCAAGAGGGCAGATAAGAAATCCCATTGAACTCAGTCATAAGCCTTGTTAAAATCCAGCTTCACCGCCATTGCACAGTCGACCCCTCTCCGCTTAAGTTTCAAATGGTGGAAAACTTCATGAGCTATAAGAATATTGCCTTGGATCATACGGCTGGGAACAAAAGCTTACTGATGGGGAGAAACCACCTGTTGGAGAATGGGTTTAAGCCTATTAGCCAAAATCTTAGAAATGATTTTTAGATTGAAATTGCACAGACTGATGGGACGATATTGAGAGAGCTTGACTGGATTTGAGACCTTGGGGATAAGAACCAAGTTAGTTTGGTTCCATTCTCAAAGAAGATACCCATTCTCAAAGAAGCTCCGAATTGTCTTAGTCACTTCCACCCCAATCACATCCCAATACTGGTGGTAAAAAATCCCAAAAAAACCATCAGGGCCAGGGGCTTTCAAAGGGCCCAACTGGAAAGCTGCCTTTTTTATCTCCGAGTCAGATACAGGTCTTATGAGAGTGTGATTCATTTCGGGTGTAACCGAATGCCTAACCCCTTGCAATACAGCATCCATAGTCCTTGGAGGCTCACTCTTAAACAGGCTAGAGAAATACTCCAAAATATGGGAGTTAATGTCGTCATCCGTGGTCAACCACTGCCCCGCTTCATTTTGAATAGCACTTAACTGATTTCGTTGCCGTCTTTGAGTAAGAGAGGCATGAAAAAAAGAAGAGTTATGATCGCCATATTGTAACCACCTGACCCGGCACCTCTGGTGTAAGAACATCTCTTCTTGTAACATAGTTTCAGAAAGTTCAGCTTGAATACGACCTTGGGCATTTGAAGTGTCCGCAGAGGAAGGAGAAGCTTGAAGCCTCGCCAAATGCTCTTTCAAAGCTAGAATTTTTACCCAGTTATTTCCAAATTCACCCAAACTCTAGGCTTTAAGACCCCTACAGCATGTTTTGAGTTTTTGACAAAACCGAAACATGGGAGAACCCGATTGGGACATCAACCAATGCTCTTGAATAACAGTTCGGCAATTTGGAGAGGTAGTCCACATGGACTCAAACTTGAAGAGGCGAGGGACTTTATCGGGGGGAATACAAGTATTGAGCAAGAGTGGACAATGATCAGAGCTGAAAATAAATTCATGAAACACTTGGGCATAGGGAAACAACACCCTCCAAGCCACTGTGGTGACCGCCCGATCTATGCGCTCCCGAACTATACTTGACCCCTGATGATTGTTGGACCAAGTAAACACATTGCCTTTGAACTCAAGATCCATGAAAGCACAATCATTCAAAATAGATTGAAAATTTTCAATTCTTCGAGGATTCGGCACAGTCCCTCCTTCTTTTTCGGTGACAGACCCGATCTCGTTGAAGTCCCCTATACACAACCATGGCAAACGGTTGTCCCTTGCAATAAGCCGGAGTTGGTTCCAGAAGACATCTCGTTGACTAGCTCTAGCAGGGGCATAAATAAAAGTAGCAAGCCACTGGGCCCCAGAATCAGTGAGCACACACCTCAGAATATTTGCATTCTTGTATCTAACGTCCAAACTAACCTCATCAGACCACCACAGAGCTAGTCCCCCTGCCATACCCGCAGGATCTACATAACAATAGTTAGGGAATTGAAGTCGTCTTCGGATCCGTTCCAAAACCTCCCTTTTATTCTTGGTTTCCATGAGAAACACCACACCAGGACGATGGGTTATGCATAACCCTCTGAGGATCTGGACTGTCAGAGGTCGTCCTATCCACTAACAGTTCCAGCTGATGATTAGCATGGCCCGTGTGGCTGTTGAAGGCCAGCCACCAATGCCTTTGAGTTGCAAGTTTCGGATTCCATAGGAAAAGTGCTAGGGACCTGGGAAAGGAGGTCCTCTGAATCTGCCCAAACAGTGAGTTCATCCCAAATTTCCACATTGAATAAGTGTGGCTCAGCATGCACACTAGTAGGGTTTCCCTTCGGTTTCAGAGATCTATACACCTTACTCTTTCGAGGGCGGGATTTGCCCCCAATGGAGGGAGGGAAAAGAGCTGGGGAGGAAAGTGTTGTGAGAGGGAGGTTCAGAGCCGGTACTAGTTCAAAGGATGGTTTAAGGGATTTTGTGGGGCTTGGGCTATTGAACTCCTCTGTAGAGGCCTTTCTTTTTAAAGATAGCCCATGAAAGGCCTTGGATAAGAAATTAGTTGGGGCTTCCTTACAGAGGGTGAGGGCTTTTGGTGAGGAAGTTGGGCTAGGAATGGGGCTACTGTCAATAGAAAGGTTTGGGCCTCTAGACAGGAGGAAGGGTGGGCTATTAGGAGAGTTAGGGCTTTCCTCCGAAGGCTCAATAACAAAGTAGGCTAGCTCAGCATGGTTTTGGCCCACAGGAACAGAATTTTCATATAGGTTTGGCCCAGGTCGAGAAAGAGCCAAAGAGGAAGGTGGTGGGAGCATTACCTCAAGTGGTAGCAAAAGCTGAGAGTGCACAGGTAGTGGAGTAGGCGCTGTTACCCCAGGTGTATCCCCCCTATTGCCACGTAGGCGACAAAGAGTCGTTCTTTCCTGTACTGCCGATTTTGCCAAAATTACGGGCAATGAACGTAGTGGTGCATCATGGGCCAGAGTACTGGTGTGGCTGGTCAGAGGGTCCGCCCTCGGAGCATCCCCGCATTCACTAGGAAGGTTAGAAGTACGCCGGAGTAAAGGGCTAAGGCGTTCCTCCAACTCATTGATCTGTTGCTTGTAAAATTCCACTGGAAGACCTAAATTGCGAGCTACCCCAGTTCTGAGGTCAGGCCCATAGCCAGAAAGACGTCCCACCTCACTAGACACAAATTTATAGGAATTTCTGTCATGGCCAATTCTGCCACAATCGTAACAAAATTCAGAGAGACGCTCATACTTGAAGGAAATCCAGGCCTCTGTCATCTCGGATGAACCCTTGCTCAGTCGCTGCAGCATAAACCCCTTAGGGAGTGGAAGAGTGACATTAATATCCACCCAAATTCAGAGAACACTGCGTGAGAGCAGAAGGCCGTCATTTGGAGCTTCCACTCCAATGAGCTTCCCTATCGATCCACCAATAATCTGCCTATTACGTCTAGTCATTTTGTCCAAGGGGAGACCATGAACTTGAACCCAAAATGGATAATAATTAAATTCTATCCCAGGTATAGCTTTCTCAATAGAGAGTGGTTGGAGAACGAGGAGATTACCCATTATGGACCACGGGGCCATTCGAAGAACCATAGCTCTGTCATCTGCATTCTGAAAGTTGAAACAATAAATGTTGTCTGCCCAAGGGGATATAGAAACCTCAGTCTTAAGTTTCCAAGCTCCAAGAATGATACGGGAGACCGCTTGTTTGTTAAGGGATGTAGGAGCTAAAATCTTGCCGATTAGACAAAGGTGCGAGTTATCAACACTCTCATCTGTAACTTCTTCCAGATCAACGGTGAAGGGGTCATTCGAGCCTTGCGTATGCGTCGTCATATGCTCAAGCAAAGGAAATGGAAAGGGGGATGAATGTAAAAATGAAAGTAAAGCTGGGTAGGAAAGAGGGAAGGGCAAAGGTGAGCAAATCTCAGACCCAGAAACAAGGGTACGGAAATTAGGGAAACAGACGAGTGGACGGGTGAGGGGGGAGGAGAGGAGAGCAAAAGGTGAGAATAGTGGTGAGAAAGGGTAACCAGAAGAAGGGTTCAGGAAGAGAGACGAAGAGATGGGACAGGAAAAAGGAGAAGAGAAGCAGGGATAAACCCAGAGACCATACCCAACAGTGGGAGAGAGCTTCTCATCTTAGAGAGAGAGAATTTCCTACTGTACACATCTTGATTTATGTATTGATAAATTAGTTAGATATATATATATATGTATGTATGTATGTATATATATTTTCTTGTACTTCTTTATTAGTTCAGTGAATTATCTTAATATTTGTTTTCTATTTATCTATTGAGAAAAACTATACACCATAACTTCTTTTTTTTTTTAATAAAGTCAGAAAAAAATGTTAAAGACTTATAAATTCACCAAAAATGATATGGTAATAGACTTGTAGTCTAAATCATTGGGTATATAACAAATCAAATAATGATACATATCATACACATAATTCTAATATATATCTAATGATTTATTCTATTTTAATTTTATAGAACAATATTTTAATTTTTAAAAAATTATCAAAATACAAAACTTAAATATACTGTAATAATAACCCATAGTTCGTCTTTTCTTTTCTAAACTAATATATATATATATATATATTTTTTTTTTTCTTACTAACATTTTGTTGTAACTCTATTTCCTCGTTTTGCAGATGGTGGGCAGGATCGCCGAAATCGGCCGCCGTCAACATGACGCTATAGAACAGATCGGCTTCTTGAAAGCCAAAATCGATAATAAAAAGAACAAGGCTGTGATGGCCTCTCAAAGGTCTGATTCCGAGGCATCGCAAGCGGCGGAGGAACGTACGAGAGCCGACTCTGAGGCCGAGTGAGCGAGAAATTCCGACCAACTAAGGCTTACCGCCGAAGAGAGGGCAAAGGCGAGCGAAGATGCTCTTAAGTTAGCCAAGGAGGCGATCGCCAAGCTGGAAGCCGACTTGGAAAAATCGAGGAAGGCAAAGGAAATGGCCGACTCTGAGATTTCCAAAGCGTTCCAAGCTGGAAAGGATGCCGCCTTGGATAACTACATAGAAGAAGCGCCCAAGTTTGAGAATCGGGGCTTCAAACACGATTGGATCAAAGCCCTTACTGCTGCGAATGTGACATTGGCACAACTGATTCCATACGATATATATATATTCTTTTGTTTCTTTATTAGTTCAGTGAATTATCTTAGCTGTTTTTTTTAGATGAGAGAATTATCTTTGTATTTATTTTATATTTATCTGTTGAGAAAAGCTGCACACCATAATTTTTTTTTTTTTTTATAAATTTAGAAGAAATGTTAAAGACTCATAAATTCACACAAAATAATATGATAATAGAATTGGAGTCTCCATCATTGGGCATTAGACAAATAAAAAAGTGATACATATCATATCGTATAATTCTATTATATATTTAATGATGTATTCTATTCAATTTCATAGAATAATATTTTAATTTTAAAAAAATTATCAAAATATAAAACTTAAATATACTGTAATAATAGCCCGTGCCTTGCACAGGCCTTCTTAAACTAGTATATATATATATATATATATTATCATAAGTTACTCTTGTTCTTGTATTTAAAATTAAATTTAAAGATTTTACACGAAAAGTAGTTTTCACTTCAATTAACTTAATAATCTCGTCTTTCTTTGGTTTAATCTTAACTTTAAGTTTAATCCATTGAGGTTAGAAATATGAGAAATGACAATATAATAGACGTTTTTTATAGGGGACTTTTTTTTTAAGGTTTTTGGTATTAACATTTTATAGCATAAAGGACATCAAATATTTTCATAATGTCTAAGGTCCCTCGAATCGATCTAGAAAAAATTCGATTCAGAGAATTTCTCTCCAAATCAGAGAAATTTGTCTCATTACGTGCAGAGAATTACTTTAGAATCAAACCAGAAAAAATTGAAATTTCTCTGAACAAAATTGTTAATTTTTGAAACTAGACTTTACAAATACAAAGCAATTCACTGTGCTCCATTTGGAATACCTGTATATTCACCATTACAGTTGTCACAACCCAAACCCACTCCTATAGGTTTAGCATCATAACCGGCTAGTAATCATGGGATTACTAGAGGCCTCTGACCTGAAAATCATATAAGAGAGGGGCTACAGAAGCAAATATACAAAATACAAGTCCATTGAGTTGTGTAGACATATATGAGATAGATAATTTAAAACTTTATATATATATATATATATAATGTCATAACCACATAAGTCATGCAACACTGTATAGGTGTTATCAAAGGGGGCATAGCGTAGTGTACGGATGAACAAAAACGAAACAAAACATTCATAACATGATTCACAAAACTTGATTTCTTCAACAAGAACCTCCTCAGGAGGCACGGTGGCTCGCTGACCCAAACTCTCCAGGCAGCAGCTTAGGCCTAGTCATGCGCCTGCTCACCTACATACATAATATAAATAGTGAGCAAAAGCCCAGTGAATAATAACAGAGTAAAGGGTTAAATGAATGATGTCCTACATCAGATTCTGAAAGCATAAACAGATTCATATTCTTATTTAGAGTTTAGAAATATGTACTTATTCAGTTTCACAGAGGATCATATGTGGTACACCCATTAGCACTAACAGATCAGATGCAGAGCATTAAGGGTTATACTTGACCAGTTCTATAAAGGAACCTTCGGTACCGGGAACATATAACATACTTGAGTCACAGCATTGTTACCCCCGGGCAAGGGCCATGAGACCACGGTATTGTTACCGCCGGGCAAGGGCCATGAGACCATGGTATTATTACCGCCGGACAAGGGCCTTGTGCTCATAGACCACGGTATTGTTACCCCCGGGCAATGGCTTTATGCTAAGGATGCCATGAGTACTTGTCAAAAATTTGACAATCACTCATTGATACAGAACATAGCATTTCAGAAAATAGATTATCTCTTGTTATATCATATGGGAAAAATACTTAAATGTGAACATAGCTTTACAAAGTTATTACTCACAGATGGCTCCAGAAGCAGACAGACAGAGTAGACAAATCAAATAGCCTATGGTGCATGACCTACACGTACATAACAAATATACATATTGAAACACACACTCGGATATTACTTAAATATTTCATTTTGTTCTTAGTGTGTTTCTAGTCCTTATCCTCATTATTATGTCTTAATCATGGTCCAGGAATGCCTAGGATGCAATAAGGATGCCAAAACATGTTGTTCAACACTTGGTCAAATTGCTGAAAATAGGGTCCTCGCTTGAGCATAGCTTTCTTCGCTCAAGCGGAGAATAAAAAATAAGGATGGTCGCTTGAGTGCAGCTTCCGTCGCTCGAGCGGTCTATAAACTTTGCAAAGGTACTAGTTGTTTGATTTTTCCGCACGACGCACGCTCGACGGTCGCTCGAATGTAAGACTGAGATCTTCGCTCGAGCGCAACTATGGTCGCTCGAGTGGTCTACAAAACTTGTAAACTTCTGGGTGCATGCAATTTACGTTCGAGCCAACTTTTGGTCACTCGAGCAGAAGTGCAAAGCAAAGAGTGGTCGCTCGAGCACAGGTTCTATCGCTTGAGTAGAGAAGCAGAATTCTGGAATTTTCAGATTTGCTTCCAAGCTCAAAGCTCAAATTCAAAGCCACAAATCATGTTCTTTGGGCCAAAAGTTTGAGGAAACATGTCTAAACTTGTCAAACATTATGAATTCAAAACCATTTCACCAAATCAAGACCCAAAGTTATGCCAATTATATAAAATTAAACTTGGTATATCATAAACATAACATGTATGAAGTATCTTGGCTTCAAAGCTTTCAAAACTTGTTCAAATGACGTGTTAGGCACAAAAACATGTTGAATTCCTAAAACCAAGGCAAGAGGAGCACATGCATGTGAGAATTCTTTGAAATCAAATGCAATTGTGGTGAAATGAACATACATGCATGATATGATCTTCCTTACTAACTCATTAGCTTAATTCTTACAAAAAACAAGTCAATTTTATGATTGGATGTTGATAAGGCCTTTAATTCATAGAACAAAACAGAAACGCAAACAGATATTTCTACGAAAGACAGATACAAATGCAAATAAAATATAACACATGCAATCAACAAATAATTTCATCTTAATTACTTATTAGGCATTCTTAATCATGGTTTAACAGTTAATCACAGGTCGGGATTGTTATAGTCTTCCCCCTTGAAGAGTTTGGTTCTTTAAACTCGAATTATCTTCGTTTTGGAAGAATATTGAATCCAAAGGGAATAAATTAAGGTATCTCTTTATCATATCATCTTCCGTTTCCCTTGTTGCATATGCCCCTCCATGGTTTTGCCAATCAACTTTTACTAAGGGTATTTCTTTGTTCCTTAATCGTTTAATTCTGCGATTCATAATCTGAATTGGCCTTTCTTCGTACGTATAGTCATCTTTTCAGAAGCACATGAGTTGGTTCAATCACATGGTGCAGATCCTGCAAATGTTCTCGAAGCATTGAGGCATGAAAAACATTATGCATGTGTTCTATGACCGGCGGTAAGGCTACTGTAGCTCAACTTTTTCACGCCCCCTTTCGGAAGACAAATAAGCCCTCTAGTATCGGACTCCTGCGGTTCTGAATCTCATCTCACAAGTGCAATGTGAAATACATAAACACCAAAGAGTCCCAATTCGGCAAATCTTTTAGAAAATCAATTTTGAATCAAAATGCCAAAAATGGACTACTTTGCCAAATACAAAGTCGCCACCTAAATATTTTTGGGAAATTTAGGAAACCCATGACTCATGCCAAAGGCCACGTGTTCGTCATCACCAAGATTGTCTCAGCTTGGGAACTTTAGTAC